GTCCTAAAATTCCAATCGGATCGAATATCCGACCCAACACTTGTAGAAGAAATCGTTTTGTTTCTATTGGTTTAGATGTGAAAGACAATAAGTTTCCGAACATCAAAATACAGTAAGTCCTTTGAATTATCCCATGCCATACCTAAGACCTTTAAATGGGAAATTTTCTCTATTAAAATCTTCAGGATTTTCATCTGGAACGATACCCTGTTTTACCCACAATTCATGTAATTGTCTTGAGTTACTATGCCATTTGTGATTTCTGAAGCTGCATGCTTGCTTCCTTAAATATTTGGACCGATTCTAGACTCGTAGTTAATGCTTCATTGATCGTTGGTTGGCTTCCAATCACATCATCTACATATACGTTCTCATTCAAAAAGTTAACCGTTGTAGGATAAAGTTTATTATATTTTTTCAGATGATGTTTAATGGTAACGGCTAATAGAAATGGACTACTATTTATTCCAAATAAAACTCTAGTGACCTATATATGTCAGGAGAAATGGTTACATCATTAGGGAAATCGGAAAACAGAAACCTGGTTGCGTCTCGATCTTTTTCATGTATGAGAATCTGTAAAAAAGCTTGTTTTCTATCTGCGGTGAAGGCTATTAAATTATACCGAAATCTTAACAATATTTCGAATATTTCAGGGTATAAATTTGGCCCAACATGTAGACAGTCATTTAAAGAAATGGATCCTGGGGCATAACTTCCCTATGTGGCAAGTAAAACACGACATCCTCTTCATTTGAAATTTCTGAAACTGGTTCGATAATATTTTGTTTTAACTGATCTCTTAATACGTTCCTGTATTCGGAAAATAGATTAGGATCTTTTTTAAAATCGTTTTCTAAGTCGATGAAATCTTTGTTTCTTCTGTTCTGCGATTTCCCTATTATTATTTAGATTTGATGTGTCATGTTTCCAAGGCAATCTAACTTTATAGCGAGAATTTTCATATGTTATATTTGATTCGAAATATTCGACGACTTCATTTTCAGTTGAATCGAAGTTTTTCCCCTCTTATCAATAAGTCCTGAGTTTTCCAAGTCCCAAAATTTTGTTATTTGTTTGGAAATCAAATCTTCCCCTACAACTACATTGAAAGCTAAAGAGACATCATCATCACCTTTTCGTCCATGTAGGCACCAGCCGAAAATAGTTTCCACTGCAACAAGATTTTTGCTTAAGCATTTAACGTGTCCCATTACTATGTTGTAATAATAATCTGCACCAATTAGAATGGCAAGTGGGTTTTTTACAATCGGGAAAATCTGCGAGCAGCAAATTTTTTAATTGTCTGTTTTGCTTAATTTCTTCTGATTTAGGAAGATGAATATCTGTACCTGATATATGATCAGTTACTAATAATTCAACTTCTATTCTAGAATCGGGAGAACTTCTATGTTCTAAAGTTAATTTAACTACATCATAATTTTTTTGGATGGGAGAAGTATTCCCAAAAGTATTCCAAAAAACAGTCAATTTTTCTTTTCTTATGACTTCGAGGTTTAACCTGTCCGCTAACTCGCGAGCACAAAATTGTGTTATTTGCATTATGTGAAATGGCCGAAACAATTTCTTCTTTCTGTTCCTTAGTTTATGTATCATTTTTCGAAATTGATATACTATCCTTTTTATCACTTGGTATATTTTTAACTATCGAACTGGATTTAAAACATATGGCTTCTGAATGTTTACCTTTGCAAATTTTACAAACTTTAGTTTGGCGTTGCCGGCACTGTGAGATTTTGTGTTTAGGGGCCAGACAAAGAAAACAACGTGCTTGTTTTTTCAAAATATCTGTCTTCTCATTAACTGTAAGGCATAAACAGGACTCTGAGTTATGGTTTTGAAAAAAAAAAAAAAAATGCAGTTTCCATTTGATGACACGGCTGCTATAAAGTCATGTGTGGTGACAGTTTGTTTATGTTTCGGCGTCAGTGGATATCTGTTAATACCTTTCATTTCTGGTTTTGACTTGCGTGGAAAGGATAACGAATTAATCTTTTCTCGCAATTCTATTTCTAATCGGAGAAAGTTTAGAAATTTGTTTTAAATCATAGGTTGAAGGATTTTTTTCAGTATTTGTGTACGATGAAATTCTAAAGTTATATCGTTCGGGACAATTTTCATCAAAATTGGAATAAACATGTTGGAATATGTTTCTGGTTTCACACCGAATGCTAAAAAGGCTTTCTGACTTGAACGTTAATTGTATCATAAATTTTGCAATTTTGCCACTTCACTTGAACTTTGAACGGGATTTAAATTTAAGAGATTAGAAATGTGTGTATTGATAATAAGGTCACTTTGACCGAACCTATTTTTAAGAATGTCTATAGCAGAGTCATAATTAGCCTCTGAGATTGAGAGACCTTCTATGGCTGATTGCTGCGTTTCCACATAAATAAGTTCTCAAATAATTAAATTTTTCCGATCTTCGAAAGTGTAACATTGTCATGAATAGTGGACCTTGAATGAATTCCAAAAATTCATCCAATCGCATTATAGTCTCCGGAAAATTTGTGAATTAACAGTTTGGGCAATTTCACATTGCCTTTCAATCTGTCTTTTGGTTTCAACTTCTGTAGATGAATTATTTAAATTCGTGTTGATATTTTGAGTATTGTATTTCCTTAAATAACGGTTGATTTTACACTTCGCTATTATTATTTTATCATTATATTCCATAGAAGTGTTAATATCTGAATCTAATTTTGATTCATCTTCAATCAAATTTTGTATTTTTTCATTTAAATCATGTAGTTCCGTTTCTTTACTATTTAACAATTCCAAACAATTTTCTAACTCTTCTTGTTTTTCTTCTTTTAAATACTCATCTACATTTTTAATAATTTGAGTTACAGAAGCACGTATATGTGCTCGATTCTTAATTAGTGTCTTCTGTTCCATTTTAATAAATTATCAAAGGAGACTTACCGTGAGAAGTCTTCGCTTACAAAGCTAATCCAAAAGGCGAAAAACACAAATTTTCAAATTAATCAGATTCTTTTCTGCGACCGATGCACCATTATATAACGAAAGTTCTAGATCAAAGTCGAATCACTCATAATCCAAAAATGAGATGCATGGCCTGGAGGGTTTTCCATAAATTTTAATTAAACTTAATATTTACATATATACAATGTAAGCTAAAATGCCTGAATCGAATATTTAAGGCTCAAAAGGCAAGAACTGAATAGTTCCAGCTAAAATCTAAATCGAGTTCTATTGCGTAGTGCATCGAAATTCTACCTTCAAGAAAAAGAATATTTTTTTTCCAGTCACGTGTTCAGAAGGGGAAAGGTTAAGTAAGCCAATAGATGGACTCCTAACGCATCTCTTGGCGATATCAAAGAATATTCCTTAACATATGGTTCTGTCATTTCTAGCAATTATAATTTAGAAGTTAAGTTATGAAATATGAGTATTATTGAAATAAAAAGACTCATCAAGAAAGGAAACCGAGGAAATTTAGGAATTTCGTTCCTAGATTTTTATATAAAAATTAAATGTTGCATATATATGACCATTGCAAACAGATCTTGTTTTTTGGCAAATTTGGCGAACCTTCCAAATTTCCAGCAAGTCAGCTGTACTCCCTCTCTTTCTAAGAAAGGCAATAAAATGATCAACTGTCCTCAGACTGAGGAATGGCTATTATCATGGGGCATTCTGCTCAGTAGGAAATTGCCAGCAGCCAGATTTTCATGTCCTTGATGACATAATTTTCTATCTGCCTTGTGTTGTGCATGTGCATTTAATTTCTCAGCTTTGTTTAAAGTATAATTTTGAATGCTCGGCTAATCTTTGGAATGTGGTAACATGTAGTTTGGCGACATTTTGGTAAGGCGATAAAGGTTACTAGCTAGGACTTTAGCAGTGTACATGGATAAAGTCAAGAGTGTGCGCAATGCCATTTTTGTGCAATTCTGGGATGTTTTTTTAAGTGAAAATAGGTCGACGTGTACATGGATACCGTGTATGTGGAATTCTTAAAAACGCGGCAAGCAGTTTGCGATTCTGCACTTTCTCCCAATTTTGCACCTAATCTTCATCATGATTAAGCACATTTGTTCCATAAAAGTTCTAGCATAAGCATAATTCGGCTAGCAGATTGTTGGAAAAAAATGTTGAATTAAAAAAAAAAAAATGTCTTTACTTCGTGAAAACAAAATGGCATCCAAACAAAAACTAGCAGGTTGCTGTAGCAGGGTTGATCGCCATATTTCTGCCAAAAAATTGCCAAGTTACCATAATCCGAAGATTAACCAAATGTTCTTATTACATTGGTTAAAGGATAATGACAGGAATAAAACGTAACTGATACTTAATGAAAAATTATTGATAGAATTTTGTACAAAAGCATTAGTTAACATAAATTACAATTTTTGGCAGTTGATTATTTGCAAAATATTGAAATTAAAACCAAATTTATGGGAACTGGAAAATGATGGAATAATTGGGTCACCTGTTGTGGAAAATGTTTTTCTTTAATATGACAACCTTGGATAGATATGCATACCTCACATCTTGATTTCATAGACTTGACTAAAGTGTTGTGGAATTGCATTCCACTGTTCTAAAAGTGCACTACCAATACGACAGAGCATATGTCAGTGCCCAAAGGCATCCTACATATGCTCTGTCATATTGGTATTCATATTGTTACATATGTTGATCAGACAAATTAATACTTTATCTGCAAATATCTCCATTTAAAAGACTGCCTTACTGGTAACACAATCAATGAATACATTACTCATATTAGCAAAATAATGACGTGGCAGGGAAGCTTTTCAAGCACTGGCTAATTAATGGTGTAGATATCTAAATGAAATGCACGAAATATCCAAATATGTGCAGAATTTTTAATTTTATAAATTATGTTATGATAGGGAAGATCTAACCTTCAAAATATATATTTTGGAAGTTATGTATCTTAAAATTATAATAAAAGCTCATTTTGAAATAATTTTATTTTTATTTTTTAGTGTGGATAATAGTGACTATATGAGAAATGGTGATTTTTTACCCACTCGTCTTCAAGCTCAGCAAGATGCTGTAAGTTTGATCTGCCATTCAAAAATAAGGTCAAATCCAGAAAATAATGTTGGATTGCTTACATTAGCAAAGTAAGAATTTTTCTGTTTCTTTGAAAAATAATTTTTTAATTCTTTTGAAATGTCCAAATCTTGCTGAATTTTTTTTAGTTCAGGTAAATTCTGATTTATATTCCATCACTGTGAAAAGAGGCAAAACTTTTGAGAATTGGTCATAACATTTAACAAAATAGTCATATTCTAAGACCTATCTCTATTCTTCCACATGAACTAAATTAGATCCTACAATGAACCTGCCGAATTCTCGCACAGGCGTGAATTAAATACCAGCACAGGGTGCAAAATAACCCTTTGTTAAATCAAACTAATTTAACAGAAAGACACAAACTTCAGGCGTTACACAAAGTGACACAGAGTGACAAAGTTACACAAAGTTTCATGCGATGGTGACTAAACATAGACTATAGTACGAGTCAAATCTGAAAAATAAAAAGTGCAAGAACACACTTCAATTTACGCCTAAGAGATGGACTAACAGAAATCTAACTGGCGTGATTCTAAACTGATAAGGACAAGAGGCTTAGTAGTGTGACCATGAAATAACAACGAAACATGCGCTTGGCTAGTGAAACACGCTCTGAATAAACTGAGATAATCACATGTTTAAATAGCACTTCACTTAACTTTAAATTGACATCCCAGCAAGAGAATGTGAGGGGAAGTTTAGAACAGGAAAACATAAAATAAATTTGTTATGCAAAATAAGGAAATCCCTACAATATGGTCTAAAAATTGTTTGCTGAGTAACAGATCATCTTTATTACAAGTACATAAGTATCTTTATTACAAGAGGTGCTTTTTGGGAGGGGAAATCATGACATAATGCTCATTCATTGAAATACTTTTAAGAGCATATTTGGTAAAAATATATTTACGGGTGCCCCTTGGCGATATTTGGCGGTGCATTTATACCGAGTTTGTGCAATTCTTTGATTTGTTAATTTGGCTTGTGTCGCCGCTACACAAAGACAAAATAACAAGTCAAAGAATTGCACAAACTCAATATCCATGTACATATTGACCTATTTTCACTTGAAAACAAAATCGGAGAATTGCATAAACTAGGCATTGCGTACCCCCTTTGAACATGTACGCATTGATCTATATTCACTTAAAAAATCAAAGGATCAGCCAACCAAAAATATATAATCTTAATAAACTGCATTTTAAATCAAACAATGAAATAACATAAAAAAAGGAAATTCATCTTTGCACTACACAAAGGAAATATCCACTTACCTTATTTACAAATTAATGTGTCTTCAGTCAAACAAAATCGTCCGACCGCTCGACCAAACGCATTTCCTTCCTACAAACAGGATATTTAATAATGGCTACTAAGTAAACCTTCATTTACACACCAGTCAATTAACGCTCATTTCTCCTTTCTTTCCAAATCATACAGAAGCTTCAAATTAATCTTACCACATTCAGCCATTCTACTGTCTAAACCACAAAACAAGCAATATACTTCCAACACACACCACAAGCCCTTACAAATCTTTTCCCATAATTCCCGCAATCACGCAGCTGATTACATCATAATAAGGTTTCCATAACATTCAACTACTCAGGTTACCATAAATGAAACAACAACTTCACGATAATATGAGGGGCGCCCTTCAATTTACTCTAACCGCATATTTTACTACTTACATTTTGGGCGTGGTACTGGGTATGGATTGTTAGTGCCCTTTAGGAATTAAATGATGATGTGATTAGCCTATTCTTCTTCAAGGAAAGCCTTATCAGAAGATTGTGTTAATATATTCGTATTTTATGCTTTCTACAATTTAAAATCAGCACAACCAGGTGTGATGATTTTTCAGCTGGATGTAGTGTAATTGTAAAAATATTGCTCTTTAAATTGAAAAATTTATAAATTTGGTAGAAAAGAGACTGTGGAAACAGTTGGTGCTAGCATAACACAGTAAGAAGAAATACACTATACAGTTAAAAGTCGTTAATTCGGACTCTCGTCGGGACTTCAGCGATTCCGGATTATCGATTTTTCCAGATTATAGATCATCAGTTTAAATCTGGTAAGATGGCATGCAGAAATTCTAAAATTAAAAATATGAAACCGTAATTTATGAAATAAAGAACAATTATGATCTAAAGGGTATCAAAATTTACAAAAAAAAAAAAAAAAGCTTAATATTTATTTGTTTACTTTATTAAACATTTCTTTCGATGTAAGTTGTTTAAGTTGCTTCGTTTTTTATGTGATAATACTTTCTCTTTAATTCTATAAACAGACATAATTTTTTGTTCAGTTACAAAGTTCCGCTGTTCAAGTCCTATAATTGATGTGTCGAGAATTCCGACTAATTTGTCAATCGAAATTTTTTCATTTTCAATAAACTCTGTGTCACTTTTTTCGCTATCGGAAGGGAATTATAATGACGAGGAATTTGATTTAAATCATATCAAAGACGGAGTACATCAAGATGAAATACTACATTTAGTAAGGAATTATAAGCCAAATAAAATAAAAACATCTGCCCTGAAGATAAGGATAGTGCTGACAGATCAACTTCCAGTTCATTGCGCGCCGTGGTGCCCCCCCCCCCCACCACACACACGCAGAGCAATGTGAAATTGATAAACAGGTTTCGGAATGGTTAGATAAACAAAGGATATGCCTTTATCCATTTTTTGCAGCAATTCCACTTTTTGTTTAACGGACTTCGAAACATACTTTCGCTTTGTAGATCCTTTACATATTAGTAAATATATATCAGAAATTCTATTTGACACAATGGAAAGTTCAAGCTTACTTTTATAAAATTGCTCTAACAGTCTGCAAAAAATAATAAGCCGGATCCAATTCGAAGATTAAGGAACAACGCAATCTGCAACATTTAACTGAATTAGATAATTTTAGCTTAGCTTATACCGTCCGTTATACATTAAACGCGCATTCTTAAACATATTTTGCGCATGCGCACACGCATATTCTCAGTTGTAATAATCTTACGCGCATGCGTCAACATGACACATGGGCAGAAAGTTTGTAGCTTTGAGGTCCGGATTATAGATCATTCCGGATTATGAGTGTCCGAATTATGACTTTTGACTGTATCACGATACCTTCTTCTTAAGGGCACTAAATAGAGAAAATTTCTGTGAGAAAATGATTAATGCTTATATTTGTATTTATCAAGTGTGAATATAACTAAAATAACCTTAGCATATTATAATGAAAATTGTTTTTCTTTATAAAATTTAGCAAATATTTTTCTTTTCTTCATGTAGATTATATGAATTTCTTTTCCCCCTCTATAGATTTAATGGGAACAGTGTCATCTCATTGTATACCAGCAAAATGTTTTCGCTAAAGCAGTTATTTTGCAAAATACTTTGGATAAAGTTATTACAGTTGTTAAATTTATTTGTATAAATGCAGTATGCTATTGAGAATTCTGAAGTACTTTTTTAGGTACTATTCCGTTTTGAGGACCGTAAAAAAATTGCAGCGAAAATGTATGCGCAAAAGCGCCAAATCTAGCGTACACGCTGATTTCAGATTGCGTAACTGTATTTCTATATTTCTTAAGGCGCCATTGAAATACTAGTTTAATTTTTAAATCCTTTTTTGATTTTAAATTCATTTTTGATATCCTATGGATTTAACAATTTGGGATTGCCCACGACGAAAAGTCTGCAATAGAATTTTTTCAAAGAAAAGGCATCATACATTATAGAAAATTATGTTTGAACAACCAACGAAATGAAACTATGCTTTGCAATAACTTTGGTAGCGAAGAAATAGCGATGGCATCCATTCAGTTATGTTAGCAATCTTTATATAAATTATAATAATGATGAAGTAGTTATTTACTCTTATACTTCCTTTCAGTCATGTTTAGCCTTTTTTATATAAATTATAATAATGAAAAGTATTATATGAAATTAACCTTTCATCTAAATTTAAACATCAATCTTAGATAGTTATTTACTATTATAACTTCCTTTCTTGCATTAGAGTTGCCGCAATTATTTTTGGCAGCACTGGCATCAACAATAGTTTGGCGATTTTTTACGGCCCTCAAAACTGAATACAGTCAAAAGTCGTTAATCCGGACTCGTCGGGACTTCGGCGATTCCAGATTATAGATCATCAGTTTAAATCTCGTAAGATGGCATGCAGAAATTCTAAAATTAAAAATATGAAACCGTAATTTATGAAATAAAGAACAATTATGATCTAAAGGGTATCAAAATTTGCAAAAAGAAAAAGCTTAATATTTATTTGTTTACTTTATTAAACATTTTCTTTCAATGTAAGTTGTTTAAGTTGCTTCGTTTTATGTGATAATACTTTCTCTTTAATTCTATTAAACAGACATAATTTCTTGTTCAGTTACAAAGTTCCGCTGTTCAAGTCCTATAATTGCTGTGTCTAGAACACCGACTAATTTGTCAATCGAAATTTTTTCGTTTTCAATAACCTCTGTCACTTTCTTCGCTATCGAAAGTGAATTATAATGACAAGGAACTTGTTTTTAATCATATCATCTTTGATATCGAGATGAAATACTACATTTGGTAAGGAATTATAAGCCAAATAAAATAAAAACATCTGCGCTGAAGATAAGGATAGTGCTGACAGATCAACTTCCAATTCATTACGCGCCCGCCGCGGCGATCCCCCCGCCGAGCAGCGTGAAAATTGATAAACAGATTTCGGATTTCAAACATACTTTCGCTTTAGATCCTTTACATATTAACCAATATATATCGGAAATTCTATTTGATATAATCGAAAGTTTAAGCTTACTTTTATAAAATTGCTCTTAGAGTCTGCAAAAAATAATAAGCCGGATCCAATTCGAAAATTAAGGAACAACGCAATCATCAACATTAACTGAAATAGATAATTAGATAATTTTAACTTATACGTCCATTATACATAAAACGCGCCCGCGAAAACGTATTCTGCACTTGCGCACACTCATATGCGCAGTCGTAAAAGGTCTTACGCGCACGCGTAAACGCCTATGCGCATG